AAGGATGAATACCACAGCATGGTCATATTTAATAATATAATTGGAAAGGTTTTTTTGTTTTTAGAGCATAACCTCAAAGCTGGATATTACAAATGAGAACAGAAAACTCATACAAATAAATATTAAAACCTAGTGAATTCCAAAGAAATTTCAAAGACAAGGATAAACCAGGGAAAGTATTTTTTAAAAAATATTTTATTAGTTGCTGATGGATATTTATTTGTTTGTTTGTTTGTTTATTTATGGTGCTGAGGATCCAGTCTAGTGCCTCACACATGCCAGGCAAGTACTATACCCCTGAGCCACAACCCCAATCTCTGGGGAAAGTATTTGTACATGTGACAAAGAATGAGTGTTATAAATGTATAATGGGCTATTACAAATTAGGGGGATAAAATAATATTTCTGTAGTGAGAAGATGATAGGACACAAGTAATTCACAGAAAAAGAGTTCAACTTGTTAATCACAAGATGTGCAAATAAAATCAAGTATTTTTTGTTTTGTTTTGTTTTTGTTCTAGTACTGGGGATTGAACCCAGGGGCCTTGTGTATGCCAGGAAAGTGCTCTACCAGTAGTCTCCATCTCAGCCCCAAGACGTTCTTTACCTGTCAGACTGGCAGACTGTGGAGCTGGCATTACTGAGCCAGTTCTGTACTTGGCACTGTAAGAGTCAACACTACTCACACAGAAGTAAAAATTCTTTGAAGCTTGTGTTTCAAGTTTGTTGACTTCATTCTGTGGAAGTCAGTCTGTGGAAAGTAAATCTCTTGTACTTTGGTTTGTCCAGCCTGCAGCTTGCTCTGATAGGAGACGATGGCAGCCATTCCACTTGTTCTCTTCCTACAAAGGTGAATGAAACTTTCTCTTCCCACTTGTGAAGCACCTACTGCCTTTCAGAGGTTCCCTGACAACCATAAATCAGGAAATTAGGCTGAATGGTCTTGGATGTGACATTTTGATTCTAAATGAATATCCCAAGCAGAGATTAATTGTGTATAATTATGTGTAAAATATGGTACTTAATTAAAAATTTAATTGTGTATAAAATATGGTACTTAATTAAAAAAAAAAAAAAAGAAGAAGCTATGTTGCAAAGTATTGTGTGTTATTGTGTCCACTAGTGTGATAAGAATTCATGTATTTCCCTCTGCCTAGCAAGTGCCTTTCACTTGTTTGGAATATACAGTAAGTGTACATTAAAAGATTTTTTTCCTTTTCTTTACGTAAATAAAGTAATTCAGCTTAAACATGTGTTCACAGTCCTGATTGATAATCTCAAAGAAAAAAGACAATATACGTATATGTATGTAATTCTTTTCCCATAAGTTTAATGTTGTGCTCTTTGGATTCCCCATCATGCAGTCATGGAGCACGCTGGCCCATTACTGGTTTGGGGTCAGTATGTGATGTGAATCTTCCTGGCAAGGAGTAAGGAAAGGCTGTCAGACTTTTGGGAAGAAGGTATGTCTCAATCCTGAAAAGGAAGCACTTAGACAATTTGTTTCTTCTAAAAGTTGTGTTATGAGGAATCTGTTTCCTGGAGCTCTTGTCTCTCGGCCATGCACGGAGCCAGCTCTGGAGGGTAGAGCCAGCAGGGACAGCAGAGAAGCAGAGGCCATCACTAAGCTTCTGCATCCATCAACCCTGTGTACTGCTCTACTCAGACTTCTTTTGTGCTGGAGTAAATTTCTTTATTGTTAAAAAAGAAAATGGCTATCTCCTTATGAAAGGTCATGTTTCTGTCCACTTGACAGATGAGAAAACTGGCCTAGAGATGCTAAGCACATTGCTAAGGCCTCAACACCAGGTCAGTGAGGAGTCAGCGGCCTGGCCACCACGGGTGCTCTAGGCATCGGGCCACACACACACTCTGAAGCTGTCTGAATCAAGTCCCAGCCCAGCCACTTATTTCAGTTCTCCTTCTGTTGTAAAGTAAAGATAATGGGATCTCCTTAATGTGATATTGGAAGAGATTAATGAGTTGATACACATTGCATTCCTAGAACAGTGCTCAGTAAGGGTGAGGTGTTAGGATGCTATAAGAAACCTCCCCAGTGGACAGAGATTTGGGGAAACAGATTATAGATAGATCACTGCATTCTTTGACTCAGGAATTCCACTTTTGGAATTTATAGAAATTAAATAAGTATGACTTTGGTCACAGATTTTTATGAAGATTTAGTGTGACATTTAAAATAGCAAAAAAGCGAATCTAAATGTCCAAGAATGGCAAAGAAGCTGAGTTAAATCCATCAAAATAGACAGAAGTGTATTTATTGGCATAGATGCTTATGATATATTGTTAATTTTAAAACCAAGTAACAAAATTATGTTCAATTTATACTAAATACAGTTTAAAAAACCTGTTCATGGGCTGGGGCTGTAGCTCAGTGGCAGAGCACTTGCCTTGCATGTGTAAGGCACTGGGTTCAATCCTTGGCACCACATAAAAATAAAATAAAAAGCATTCTGTCCAGCTACAACTACAAAACAAACAAACAAAAAAAAACCTTATTCATTGCAAAAGTTTGGGACAGTGTCAAATATCACCTGTTGTTTATTGCTGTATGAAGAGATGATTCTTACCTTCCCGTTTTACATATTTTTTATGTTATTTAACCACTTAAAAAAATCCACTTAGGCATTATTCATACAGAAGTTGTAAAATAACCCACCCATCATGTCTGATGTCTGTCCACCACCTTTCGTAGCTTCCTTCTAGCCCAGGTTTCCCTCTGCTTTGTTTTCTTGGAGAGCAAGTGAGGAAAACCAAGTTTGGTTCCTTACCCTGGGCTGGGGCAGACAATAGCTATTGTGCTTTTTTTTTTTTAATTTTTATTTTTTTAATTGAGAAATGCTTAGTGTGTACCAACTATTTCCTACCCAGGTCCTGATTTAGGCGTCGGGAATAAAAATTATCTCAGCTTCATTAAGACCACCAGCCTCGTTGCTGGAACACTCAATTGGGCAGATTGGGCAGATTACTAACTTCTCCTTTGAAAGCAAATATTTATTGAGCGTCTCCTACATTTTAGGAGAAACAGTATTGAACAAAACACAAAGCTTATACTCTAATGGGAACATATCAATGGTAAATACATGCCAGACAGCGATAAGTACTATGAAAACATAAAGAAGGTATGAGTGGAAAGTCATGTGCTATTTAAGGAAGAGTAGCCTGGGAATGTGTCCGGAATAGGACGATATTTGAGGAGAGACCTGAAAGAAGTCAGGGAGCCCTGAGGCTGTGTGGGAGGGTTGGAGGAAGAGGTGATGCTCTGCTGGTGCCCACGCTCAGTTGTTGACCAAGTGGATCTCTTCCCGACTCCATGTTCAGAGAAGTCTGATTGGTAGCTTGAAATCTGCCCTAAAGATGCCTGCAAATGCTACAAATCAGGGTTCCTGCCCCAGCCCAGAAAGACGTCTGTTAGATGGGAGAAGGGAACAGGAAGTCCAAAGGCCCCGAGATGGAAGCATGTTTATTGTGTTTGAGGAACATCAGGGCAGATCAGAACAAGAGGGAAAGGGACAGCGATGGGTGGGAAAACTGGCCAGAATCGAGGTGGACGGGCCATGATGAATACGCTGGACTGAGTTATTGTAAGCAAAACTCGGGCAGAGGGGCAACACCATCCGACTTAAGCTTGAGGAGGAGCCGCTGGGAGACTTTGACAATGGTCTGGGTGTGAGAGGGTGGCAGTTGGTGATGGTGGAGGTCGTGAGAAGAGCACCTCAGTTTATTTCTTCAGATAGTGCGATGGTGAAGAGAGGTCTCCAGGGTGCTTGGCATGACGTCAGACACACAGCAGGCCCTTGGCAGGTGACAGAATGCCAACCCTGGAATGCCGCACATCTAGTGGGCAGGCACACACCTCCCGTACCAGGTGATGAATGCTGAGTTTAAGTGGAAGCCTAGCGAGCCGGGCAGCGGGGAGGAAAGGCCTAGAAGGGAGTCAGCCAAGGGAGACGCCTTCACAAAGACCTGAGGACGGGGGTCAGAGGAAAATAGAAGGGCTTGGTGTCCACCCTCGCAGTTCAGGAGTTCATCAGATCATAGCTTTATCCTCTGGCTTAGCCAGATAACTGGTGATTTGAAGGAGCAATGATGATTTAATTACCCAATGTGTTAATTAAGCCTCCTAACTCACTGTAGATCATTGTGTTTAATTTAAATTCATTTACTAATTTTATTGGAGCCTGTGACTATGATAAGCACTCAGATATAGAAACTCAAGCTCATAAGAACTTTATAGAACTTGTTACGAAGACAGAAGCTGTTAATCTGGGGCCCATTTGTAGCCTCTGGGAGATCTGTGAATCCCTTGAGGATACTTGCAGAATGATGTGTGTGCACATGAATTTGAGGGTAGAAGTGGGACAGAGGGATCTAGCTTTATCAGATTCTCAGAGAAGCTTGGGATCAGTAACACTGCTACTGAGATTAATGCTAATTAGAGAATAAAATCTGTTCAGAAGAATAGGTATATTTTTGTCTACCATTCTATTATTAAAATAATTTGAAAAAGTGATACTCCAAATCACATGAAATCGGTTAAAACACTTCATAGAGAAGTGGTCACTTTCCAGGTGTGGTGGTGCATGCTGTAATCCTGGCTACTCGGGAGGCAGAGGCAAGAGGATCTGGGGTTCAAGGCCAGTCTGGACAACTTCAGGAGTCCCTGTCTCAGCAAAGGAAACAAACAGACAATAAAAGTGGTTGCTTATCATAGTGCCTTTGTCATTTTATTCAAATTTGCACTGTCATTTTGGGCCCAATGTTCATTCTGACCGAATTTCTGATGGCAAATGGACTCTAGTATAATTTAAAATACCTACAGGCCACAGTTGCTCTGTTGATCATGGCAGCATCAAACGGGTATCCTTCCCTTTGAAAGTGTTTCTGCCTCTGTTTTTGTTGCTGTTTATGGATGCCTTACATTTCCTTCCTCTAGTCTCCTAAATAATAAGTAATGGCTTCTTCAAAGCCTAAGAGATAGGCATGTTCACTGAAATTGTAATTCAGAAGGAGGATTAATAGAAGTTAATTGACTTCTGTGATTCAGGAGGTCCCCTCTTGACCCGTTAGGTCATAACGTGACTACTTTTGACTGAAGTGGGAAATTATGTGAGTACGTTGTGGGCCGTGGTGGCTGCCGTTTCTTGAGCACTGTGGTACACCACTTGTTCAGCGTGTTGTATACGTAACTGAATCCTTGCCATACCCCTGGAGATGGGGATTCATCTCCTCTTTTAGATACCAGACCTAGACTGGGGCAGGTTGATAGCTGACTTTCTCAGGGGCACACAGCCAGCGAGCAGCAGAACTAGTCAGTAGAAAAGTGGAAAGGAAGGTGTCCTGTGACAGACAAGGAAGCCACTGGAAGGAAAGTGACTTTCCCTGGTAGCATCGCCACTGTTCTGCTGTATCAGGCACTTGTTAGGATAATAGATGAGAAAAGTAGTCAGAGAATTGATGATTACTGGAAAAGGTTGTGGGGAACCAATTAATTAACCTCTAGTTAATTAACCTCTCAGTGTCATCCTAAAACAGTGGTAGAGGGCAACAGCTGACCTTAGTATTTACTCTGAGCAGCACACAACACAAGGTGCTCCTCTCCTCCCCCCAGTGCAGGGACTGAGCAGGGCCTCACACATTGGACTGGTCTTCTCCCCCAGCAGCCTCCACAAGCCTGACATTTTGAGACAGGGTTTCACTACGTTGCTGAGGCTGGTCTGGAATTTGTGATGCTCCTGCCTCAGCCTCCCGGGCAGTTGGGATGACAGGTGTGTCCACCATGCCCAGCTGTGCTTTTCTTATATTGTCCCATCAAATCCTCATCATAGGGGCCCTGCGGAAGGCATTGCTATCCCTGTTTTACACATAAGGAAACTGAGGCTCAGAGATGTTGTGTCAGTTTCCTAAAGATAGTAAGATGGTGTGATATGAATCAAGATCGGCCTTCAAAGCCTGTTACTTTCCACTCTGTCTTATTATAAAAGTCACTTTGTAGGCTATTTAGTAAAATGTAAGCCACGTGAGGTCAAAGACCACATTATTAAATTTTGTGTATGCCTCAGAACATAATAGAGTTGTAATCCCATGTCGTATCGACTAGGTGGATCCCCCAGGAAATGTTTTGGGCTGATCACCCTCACAGTGGATTGAAAAAGAGAACATCAAAGACACAAAGAAGGATCTCACTCCAAATATGAAAAGAAAAGAAATTCCCTTCACATTCTTTTTAGGATCTACTGTTCCTTGAAAGCAAAATTATAGAAAATCTTTTTAGTATCCCATAGGTTTGCTTCAGGAGTTAAAACCTGTACACACAGATTCTAATAAATGCACCTTATATCTTATAGCTGCTTGATATTGATGTTTTCAAGATGGACAGCCACGGATAGATTAGTTTTAGAACAGAAAATGACCTTGATATTTTAGAAATATGTATGATACATAACATTGTCAAAACCCAACACTTGCCAGTCATTTTAAGGTATAAAAGGTGTATTAGAAAATACTCAGGCACGTATGTAAATGCCCAGACAAGTGGCCTGACCCTCTCATGGTCCATGTGCACAGGTTTTGGCTGCCGGCTGGTCTGCCTTCTTCAGCACACCAGGCTTCTCCAGCGTCCGGAGTTGAGAAGTGGGGCCGCCTGTCCCGGGTTTCCTGATGATGATGGCGTTGTTCTAATACTCCAGAGTCACCGTTTTGGTTTTGAGGTATTCGTTTAGAGCTTCCTCACCTACGGAAGAGAAAAGCAGTTGATGGACCAAGTTCAAAGTTGGATGTGGTACTACTGGCCTTCCAGACATGGGCACAGGTCACAAAGTAAAAGGAATGTCACCCAGACCAGCGCTTCTCAAACTTTCAGGTTCACGTGAATCAGCTGAGGACTTTCGTGAACTGTAGGTTCTGATTCAGCTACTTTGGGAGAAGGTTAGACATCCTAACTGTTCTCCATTGATGCTGCTGGTGGTCCACAGACCACATTTTGTGTAGTGAGGGCTTAGGTCAGCTGCCAGGCCTGCTCAGAATCAGTGTTGGCTGGTCAACCTTCCTGCTTCATTTCCCTGCATAGTGATGAGTTACATCTTTTTTCCTTTGTTCATATGAGATACACAGAAGTGACCAGGATTCTGTGTTCTAGATTACATTAAATGAAGCAGACTGGAGCACAGGAAAGAGTTGGGAATCATTTGTTTAACCTGATTTTAAGGGTAAGGAAAATGCAATTTATATCATATCAGAAACACAAAAGAGCACATTTAAGCAAAAAAAAAAAAAAAAAGAAGAAGAAGAGGAAGAAAACAAACAGACCCTTCTACCTTTCTTCACCTGTTTCTGTTTTTGAGCTATATAATCACTGGTACCTACAGTGGCTAAGGGCAGTGGATACCATGGTAAAACTAATGAGCATGTGATTCTGGAAGCTGAGCTAAAATGAGGGCCTTTGAAAACTCTTATCTCAGGTCACATACCACAGCAATTGGATCAGTATCTCTGTATTTTTTTTTTTAAGGCTTTCAGATGCATCTAATCCAATGTGCAGCTAAGGATGAGAAGCAATGAGCTAAGGGGTTTTAAATTGTGGAGAGGAAGAAACTGTTAGGCAAACTGGAATGCTTTATAGTAAAAGCTGTCAATTATCCTGTCAAAAGATAAGTGAGAAGAGTTGCTTCATTTCACAATAAAAATTTCCCAAGTGTTTCACCGTGCTTTGGATCCAGGGATAAAAGCCAAGATAGAAGACGTGGGGCGGGGAAGCCTTTGCCTTCACCCACTTTTATGGCTACAAATAACATTGCTGAAAATCATCTGGAAAGAGAAAATGTAAAAAATACCCCAAATGAACCAAACTTATTTAAGATGGTGATTTTACTAAATCACAAATGTTTCATGTTCTGAAACCTGTCTGACTGGAGATTTGAGAGGTGGAATCCACAGCCAAACTACCTGCCTTTTAATTCTCTCTGCTGTTGCCTGGCTGTGTGACTTTTGACAACTCACCCATCTTCTCTGAGCCCCATTTCCCTAAACTGTACAATGTTACCATAATAGTACCTATCTCCTTGAGCTGCTGTGACAATTGCTTATACTCAAAGACGTAAAGTACTTAGAATAGGACCTGTCACAAACTTAGCTCCCAATCTACTGCTTGAAAGCTGAATTACATTTTAGGCTTTTTACAAACTCTAAATCTGAGCTCTTGGACTTCCAGCAAACCTGCCAGTTACAGTGTTGACTCTGAAAGACTGCCAGCCAGCTCTGAGACAGGCTTTATTTTTGGAGCTAGCTAGCTATTATCACCCTCCACCCATTTTCCTTTCTTGGTTCTGTTGAGCCCCACAAAAGCCCAACCAAGTTCATGGTGAATGTCAGATTTTTTAAAATTAACATTTTAGCTAAAATGTATTCCTTTGGGGAGAAAAAAAGATTACCTTCCCTCACAGTTTGTCTTTTTTTTCTATAAGTGTGTTATGTTCATAAAACATGCTGAACATTAAAAAAAAATAAATAAATCAGTACCTTTATAAACCCAGATCTAACTGCCACGAGGGAGACGCCCTTCAAAACAACACTCAAGAGTTGCATAAAACACAGGGCAGGGTTTTCTGTGATGCAGCAACACGGGACTGTGTAGGATAAAAGTAAAGCCACGGGGCTGCGGCTGGGGCTCAGCCATGGGCGCTTGCCTCGCACAGGTGAGGCACTCGGTCTGATCCCTGGCATCGCATAAAAGTAAGTAAATAAAATAAAGATACCGTGTCCATCTACAATTCTAAAAAAATATTAAAAGAAAAAAAATAGAGCCAGACACACCTAAGTCTTTCCCGAAGCCGGACTGTTTCACTCCACCAAACGGGGCTGCCACGTCTGTCTTGTTGTACGTGTTGATAAACACGGTCCCCGCCTCGAGTTTGTCACTCACGTACATGGCTTTGTTGATGTCTCTTGTGAAAACCCCGGAGGCCAAGCCGTACTCTGTGTTGTTGGCTCTCTGCAGGACACCGTCGATGTCCCTGCGAGGGTTGTCAGGATGACAGGAAGCTTCGTTACATGAGAAGCAAAACACTCTCCTTTGACACCCTAGAAGTTTTCCCTCTCTGAGGAGAAATGGGGATCCGTCACTGCCACCTGCTTACATTACAGGTGAAATATTCAAGCTCACGTGGAAATTGAGCCTCAATGAAATATGACAACGCTAGTTTAATTGGGCTTTGCATCCATATCTAAAATCTGACCTGAAGTCATCTTTGTGACTTTGTGACAATGGTGTCATCCCTGACCCCCTCGGCCTCCCCTCTCCTTGAGCCCCGTGTCCAGATTTTCTGAGTAACCCCCCTTTCCTTCCATCTCTTCAGAATCTGCACACACAGCTGAAGTCCCCGTCATGCCTCCCCGAGGCCTTTCCGAATCCCACACAGGCAGCAGGGTGGTGGCTCAGTGAGCAGGCTCTGTGACAACCCGCCTGGGGCAATGTGATGAAATGGCAAAAGCAGTTGTCTCAGTGTCATGGGATGACATGAGCTAAGAGTGCCCAGAGCACACTACGTGGCCAGTGGAAGTCAGCTATGACCAGGGAGCGCCACTCCTCCCAACTAGCATTATGGAAGCCCAAACCCGGGGCTGGTTTAACCCCTGGTTTGCCATTTGGAAACTGGAAGACAGAAGCTCCCCAAGGGCAAAGATAATTATGCCTCATATTTCTTTATACTGTGATGTCACATCATGTGAGAGTGAACTCTGCCTTGATTCCAGGCACGCCCCTGGAATCTCAGCACCTCTGGAGGCTGAGGCAGGAGGATTTCAAGTTCAAAACCAGCCTCAGCAATTTAGTGAGGCCTTGTCTCAAAATAAAAAAAAAGGACTTTGGATATAGCTCAGTGTTTAAGCACCCTGGGGTTTAATCCCCGGTAGCAAAAACCAAAAAACTGAACAGATGAACTCCATGTCTTATGCTTATTTAGTAAAATAGGAAAACAAGAAGCAAAACACTGAAAAGCAAAACACCCAAAAGCATGGAATATTTCATCTATAAAATATAGGCAGGTGGCAGTGACGTGTTCCCGTTTCTACATAGAGAGGAAAACTTCTAGGGTGTCAGAGGAGAGTGTTAAGACGTCTGGTTATTTTCCTGTCTTTCCACTCTGTATACAGTGATCTTTGTGTCTGAGGGGCATTAGTTTCAGGACCCCTGCAGGTACCAAAATCTGCGGAAGCTCAAGTCCTTTACAAAATAGTGTAGTATTTGCACCTGACCCAGGCACATTCTTCCATTCATCCCATATACTGTATAGAAGTTTATGGAAGTTTTTGTTTGTTTTGCGGTGCTAGGAATTGAACCTAGGGCCTCACGCATGCCAGACAAGTGCTCTACCACTGACCTACACCCCGAACCTCCTCCCATATACTTTGAATCATCTCTAAATTACTTACAATATCTAATAGAACATAAATGCTGTATAATATCTGTTATTCTTTGTGGAATAATGACAACAGTCTGTACGTGTTCATGACAGATGCAGATTTTTCCCTCTGTGATGCTAGGGATTGAACCCAGGCCCTAGTTCATGCTGGGCAAATGCTCTACCACTGAGTTACTTCCTCAGCACTTGAAAAAATTCCTATTTTGAGGCAGGGTCTGGCAAAGTTGCCCTGCCTGGCTTTGAACTTGTGATTTTCTTGCCTCAGCCTCCAAAGTAGTTGTAAGTAGAGGTGTCCACCACCACACTTGGCTAGAAGCAGTTTAAAAAGAAATTTCAGCTGGGCACAGTGGCACGTGCCTGTAATCCCAGCGGCTTTCGAGGCTGAGGCAGGAGGATCGCAAGTTCAAAGCCAGCCTTAGCAAGGGAGGTCCTAAGAAACTCAGTGAGACCCTGTCTGCAGATAAAATACAAAAAAAGGGCTCAGGATGTGGCTCAGTGGCCCCGAGTTCAATACCCAATATCCAGTAAATAAATAAATACAATTTATTTTCGATCTGAGGTTGTCTGAATTGCAGATATAGAATCGTTGCATATGGAGGGCCAACTCTGTGTACACCCCCAATAAGAGGAGATATGAACCTGCTCTAAGAGCCCAGTTCTATCGTGCCTTCCATGGTGTATCTCCCCTTATTCAGTGTGGTCCTAACGGTTAAAAATGCATGCATTTTCTATAACACGGCCAGTAGATGAAGCAAGAATTTCATCTGATGCTCCAGCAAAGAAACAGGATTTGTTCCAGAACCACAGGAAAAATAAGTTGTGCTGCATTTATTGAGAGACAGCACAGGTTTCAACATAGTACCTTCCAGAGGGATTTTCAAAGATCACCTTGACTCTTTCCAATTTCAAACTTGCACTGCCTTTAAACTGACTTGAAGGGAGCTAAGACTCTCCTACAACTCCTGTACTCTCCTTTGGGGGAACTGAGAGAGAAAAGGGGAACAAGCATCCTCAGATCCACATGCAAATGACCCCTCACCACAGCCTCCTGTGCTCAAAGACCTCTCACAATGTCTGCTGATGACCAAGAAGTCTTCCCAAAGTAGGCATTTGTTTCCCAGTTTCCCATTGGTTGAGGTAAACCTAAAGCCACTCTGAAGAATTTCGTCAGGTGCACTGGGAGAATCCCATCATATGCAGTGTGGTTTTACAAACCCAGTTACCATGTGGTCCTCCTTGGTATGTGGAACATCTTGGAAGTTTCATGTAGGATGACAACCAGCATGCCATTTGCAGTTGAATATATGGCCACTGGGGGCATAGCTATAAAAAGCTGAGTATTGGGGCTGGGGATGTGGCTCAAGTGGTGGCGCACTCGCCTGGCGTGCGCAGGGCGCTGGGTTCAATCCTCAACACCACATAAAAATAAAATAAAGAGATTCTTTCCACCTAAAACTAAAAAATAAATATTAAAAAAAAAAAAGCTGAGTATTTGGGGCCGGGGTTGTGGCTCAGTGCTTGCCAAGCATGTGTGAGATACTGGGTTCCATCCTGGCACCACATAAAAATAAATGAAATAAAGCTATGGTGTCCATATTCGACTAAAAAAATATTAAAAAGAAAAAAAACCCAGTATTTGGCTTATGGGCCATGCAGAAACCAAATAATTGCAGCCCCCTTTCTTTGACAAAATCAGATTTCCCAAATGTTACCTTCCCTGAGAATGTAAATGTGAAAACTGGTTATTTCTCAGGTATCAACCTATTCCACAGAGATTTCACATGCCAACTGTACAAAAACAAATTTAACCATCTAAAATCTCAACACACCTAACCTTAAAGTAAGCTGAGAAGCAAACATAAATTACCATCCACAATGGTTAGCAAAAGCATATCCTTCTAATTATTTAGTGAGTTAATTACTCTTAGGGTAGAACTGCATGTTTGTTGATGTCATGCTCTGTAAATAGTATAACTGCAGAGGGGAAAAATTACCAAATTGAAACCTTATTGTGCCCGAAGAACATACCCATTTTGGAATTTAGAAATGACCATTATAGGCCCAAAGGATTCCTCTTTGGCAAGGTACATGTGGTCTTCCACGTCTGTGAACACAGTTGGTTCCATAAAAAAACCTGTTTGGGAAAAAAAGAAGAAAAGAATGTCAATTCTAGGTGAGGCCATACTTCAGTTAACAGTTGTCTCAATTACATTACAATTTCCCCTTTCTGCCTTGGGAAAACCAAAAGGATGTCTCTACTCAGTGTTGGTATTCCTAGGTTCTTGTTTTTTAATATTTTTATTTGAAAAATTCAAATATATATTAAAAGTAGAGTCAATAATACAATGGACAGTAAAATATTCTTTTTTTTTTTTGCTGTATTTTTCCTTTGCTGAAATATCTTAAAGCAAGGATATAATTTTAACTCCCAAGTACTTCATGGCAAATCAGTAAAAAATAAGGACCTTTTTTTAAAAAATATAACCACAACACAGCATCACACCTAACAAAATTAATGCTCATTCTTTATTTGTAATTTATATTTCACTTTCTCTCATTGTTCAGAAAGTAACTTTTTCCAATTAATTTAATTAATTTTAAATTTAGTTAAATTAATTTTCCAATCAATTTGTTCAATTTAGGATTCAAATAAGTTCTACATATAGCATTTGCTTGTTAGATTTCTCAATGGTCTTTTTATCTCAATATTTTGGATGCTTTTGCCCTCTCCTTGTGTTTTCAGGCAGGTGACTTGTTAGAGATACTGGGTCGGTTGTTCTGTAGAAGATCTTATATTTTAAACTTGTCATTGCTTCCTTGGAGTGAAATTTGTTTCTCTAGTTCATGTTTTTTTTTTTAATTGTGATAAAATACACGTAACACAAAATTTACCATCTTAACCATTTTTAAGCACATAGTTCAGTGTTATTAAATACATTCACAGTGTTAGGTAACCTTCATCACCATCTGTCTGAATCCATTAAACAATAACTTCCCACCTCACCCCCCAGCCCTTACAAATTGAAAGCTGGACCTAATGGCACCACTGTGTTTGGTTTTTAGAACATGTCATAGGTGACCCTGGGCATCACACATTGTATTTCGTGAGAAGATGCATAATATCCAGTGTCCTTCTTTAAGTGCTCAAGTGGACCAGGGGCTCCAGATGGTGACCATGGGATCCCGCCATTGCACAGCTGTGCTTTTCCCCACCAACCTTTTTCCTAACAACTTCAGCCTACCCTGACTCATTTCCTGAATCAATGGTATCATCTATCAGAAAAATGCAAACTGATGATTTTTTTCCTACTCTTTAATTTTTTTTATATGAATTAGCCGGGATGCCATCATTAGGAAAAAAAAAAAAAGAGTCTCTTTTATCAGCTACTCAGTTACCTAGAAATTCAGTTCATATAGGAAACATAAGATACATATTCAATTTTTTTCTTGTAATTACCAATGTTCAGAGTAAGGTATTGGTGTACAATCTACCTGTAACAGTGGAACGGAAGGTTTTGTTATTTGCTGTGTGTGTGGGGGCGGGGTACTGGAGACTGAATCCATGAGTATGGTACTTTTGAGCTATCTCCCCTTCCCTATTATTAATTTTGTTCTGAGACAAGGTGTTGCTAAATTGTCTGCACTAGCCTTGAGCCTGTGGTCTCCTCCTGCCTCAGCCTTCAGAGTTTCCAATCCTGACATGGGCCACTGTGCCCTTGAAAAAGCAGTTTTTGTGGTTGGTTGTTAGTTCCTTCTTTCAAGAGTCATAACATTAAGCCGTTCACATACTTCAGTACCAGGTCCTGCTTTAGGCAGAGGAACAAATCCCTCCCAGGCTACGCTGGCTGAGATCAAATCTCAGTGCCAGGAATCAAGACCACGGTTTCTTTCTTTTCTTTTTTTTTTTTTTTTTAAAGAGAGAGGAGAGAGAGTGAGAGAGAGAGAGAGAATTTTCAATATTTATTTTTTTTAAGTTCTCGGTGGACACAACATCTTTGTTGGTATGTGGTGCTGAGGATCGAACCCGGGCTGCACGCATGCCAGGCGAGCGCGCTACCACTTGAGCCACATCCCCAGCCCCATGAGACCACGGTTTCTGATAACAGCTATTCATTACACTTGTTTATAACAAAGGGCCTGTCATTTTCATAACTTTGTATTGTAGGGTGTGCACATTTCATCTTATTTTCATAGGAGAAAAATGAGACTCAGGAAAATTGTGTTGTGGAGCTGGGTGCTATAATCCCAGTGGCTCAGGAGGCTGAGGCAAGTTCAAGGCCAGCCTCAGCAATTTAGGGAGGCCCTAGGCAAATTAGCAAGACCCTGTCTCAAAATTAAAAAATAAAAAGGGCTGGAGATGTGGCTCAGTGATAAAGTGTCCCTGGGTTCCATCCCCAATACCAGTTAAGAAAACAAAAAAGAAAAGAAGAAGAAGAAGAAAGAATAAAGGAAATAGTGTTGTGAAGATATCCCAGCTAATTGCTCAAGCAGGATGTAGAAATTAATTCAGACCCATATCACACATGCAAGTGTTTACTTTGGCAGTAAGGTGATGCTGAGGTGAAAACTGTCACCATCTACTCCAATTTAAGAAGTCAGGCACTGCACCCTGAAGCCCTCTACAGGGGGGACCTTACCTGGCCTTTGGACTTGTCTTCCCCCGTACACCAAGGTGGCCCCCTCCTTCACTCCAGCTTCACAGTATTGCAGCAGCTTTTCCAAGTGGGCCTTATGATTTTGGGGCCCATGATCAGTAGATCTGTCAAGTGGGTCACCAATTTTCATCTTTTTAATTTCTTCCACCTGAATAGCACCCAGGCCACAAAAGACAATTGATTCACTGTTAAGAATGGATATCCTTGACTGGGTTCCGACCATGCGGTGGGTGTTGTTTGAAGCTGTCGATAGATGGCTCCAGAGCAAGCAGGTATTTATGATTTCTGCCTTACAGAAGAAGAGCCCAGGGCCTAGACAGGTTAAGTGACTTGCCCAAGTGCACAAACCACTACGTACTATGAGTCGAAAGCCCAAGTTCTCAACCAGCCAACAGGATGTAAGATACCTAGGCTTTAAAATTATCCAGAAGGTTAGTCCACTAAAATAGCCAACTGATGTTCTGGAATTTTCATAAATACAGCACACACACACTCTTCATGGCAAAAGAATTTCTGAATGACCACCTTGTTGTTTTTTCCCCTTGCTCAAACATGGCAGACTGCCTTTGTGAAATTCTCATGGTGTAGCCAGAGGAATTGCTAGAATATTCTGAGGAAAACCGATGGCACAAGCTGCTTGCTTGTTTTGATCTTTTCCTGCGTTTTCTGATGCTAAGTCTAATTCTAATAAGAAGAAACTGTGGCAGCCACCGTGACCACGAAGGGCCATGAGTTTGACTCCAGGTGTGGCAATCCTCTCTCAGGGGCTTGAATGGAGTCCTGGGCTTGAGGAGACGCTCTGAGTGGGCAGGGATCACGTCTACCTTATTCACCTTGATATTTCCAGCACCCAGCACAGTGTGTGGTATTAAGTGGTATTAAGCAGGTGCTCAAGAAACAGGTGTTGAATGAGCACACAAAGCTCCTGTGCAAAAGGTGCTTGCTGATGGGCAGAGAGAACACATCCTTGAACTTTCTGGTCTCAGCATTGAAATTTCATCCAGTTATTGCTGACCCTGAAAGCCTGTGGCGTTTAGTTCTGCATGCTGCATTTTACTGAGACACAAACTAAATTGCAGAGTTCAGGAGGCAGCCCCTGCCCACTGCCTGCCCCGCCTGCCACTCTCTGACTTCTTGGAATCTGCTCTCATGCAGAGGATTCCTTTGCTTTGGGGGCAGGATGGGATGTAGGAAATTGGTTCTGGGGAGAAATAAAAAAGCTAGGTGGTGGTTTTGCAAATATAAGCAAGTTCATAATTAATATTACCTATATAATGATACAACATGGCATAATTTGGAGTTTATTTTAGCCACAGAGTTCACCTTAACAGTCCTATTAATGACTTTTAGTTCCATGCCTATGGATTCATAACCAGCCAACAGGAGCTATTTGTGGAGTTAGTTATGCTAGTGGAAGAAATGATATCCTGTCATGTTAAGTGCAAAATAGAGTCTTGTAAGGATCTAGTGATGCATCTCTCATGGATAATTCAGGGATTCATAAAAATCCAGGAGTATAGCTCTCTGAAGTGTCAAGGATCTAATGGGCCACAAATGCAGGGCAAGGTGTAGGTACTGACAGCTCTCAAGTAGATTTAAGGTTTTCACACAGACTTGTAACTTGTGACTATGAAAAATTAGAAACACATATAAAAGCAGAGAGATCATAAAATGAATCCACAAGTACTCCTCACACAGCGTCAGAAACTACCAACTCTGGCCCATTGATTCCCCTCCTCACCTCTGCTTTTCCTGGTTTATTTTGAAGCAAATTCTAGATGTCATATACTGTAACTGTAAATATGTCAGTATACTGCTAGACAAAATAAAGGACTGTTGGTCATTTTTTTGTTTTATAAAAACATAATGGACTGGGGGCCTGGGGCTGTAGCTCAGCGGTAGAGTGCTTGCCCAGTATATACAAGGACCTGGGTTTCATCCCCAATAATGAAGAAGAAAAAAAAAACAAACAAGAAAACACAGGTTGAATCCAGGACCTCCTGCATTGTAAGCACATGCTCTGCCACTGAGCCACACCCCCAGCCAAGGCTGATTTAAAAAAAAATAATAACAATATTGTTATCAACCTAAAAATTCATGAAAAATCCCAGAAGTACTTTCCAAGCAAAAGCAATTTCTTTGTGTGTGTGTGGGTGAGGGGGGGGTATTAGAGATTGAACCCAGGGCTTTGGGCATGCTAGGTAAGTGCTCTACCACTGAGCTACACCCCAGCCCTTTTCAAATTTTTGAGATGGGATCTCATCAAATTGCCCAGATTGGCCTTGAACTTGGGATTCTCCTGCCTCAGCCTCTCGAGCCATGTGCACTACCACACTCAGCTCAAACAAAAGCAATTTCTATGCAACTGAAAGCAAATCTGAAGATGCCTTACCACTTTGGTCACAAATTCATCGTGGATGGATTCTTCCACAAACAGTCGCCCAGCGGCAATACAGTTCTCTCCTTTGTTGAAGAACACGGCGCTCATGCCCTTCAACACAGAAGGCAAAACAGTGACTGCACCGCCGAAAAGTCAACACTGACGTACAATTTTACAGAGAGAACTAGGTGTTACTGGAAGACAGCAGGCAACACAGAGTCACTGAGACTTAAGTCTCAGTGGTGAGAACTGCTGGGGGATGTTTAGTCTTGACTTAGCTGTTTTTGGTCCATGAGCACTTTCCAAAATGTTTATAACAGTAAGTCTATACCACGAAGAACAGATTGTATACTGCAAGAAAAATCTCGATTATTCTGTATACATTTAAATATAATACTTGTATAATAAGTTTTGCTTTTAAAATCTGTATGTGGGTTCATAGAAATCACAGGTTTAGAAAGCCTTCCTTATCATGCCCCTCATGGAAAGGAAGATCCATTTTTCAAGAAGTTTGCAAAATATTTTAAATGAAGGCGCTCAAAAAAACGAGTGCTTAAGAAGATTCATTGTGTGTGTGTGTGTGTGTGTGTGTGTGTGTGTGTGTGTGTCTGGTGTGTGTGTATTGCTAGGGATCAAACCCAGGGCCTTGTGCATGCTAGGCAAGCACTCTCCCACTGAGCCCTAATTAGCAGGGTTTTGTTGCATCTTCTTTTTCTAAATTTAGGGAATAATTCACCTCTTGGAACCTCCCTAAACTGGGTAAAATAAATAAATAAATAAAATATATATATATGAAATAGCATAGTATTTCCTGTACTCACAAGTTCTTACATGGTGGGAACCAGAACTCTATGTAAAGGCACACATTCCTATGCTGTAGAGGCTAATGGTGGCCGGTAGCAAACTATTTGTGAATATCTGATGATAGGAAAAAGGAAGGAATGGCCCTCTCTAATCATTTTATGTGATTTTCTCCACATGTAGTTATTTCACCCTCAGCACTCTTTGGTTGTTCCTGTTGATTCATGTTATATGAACAAGAGCATGAGAAACCTAGTGAATTGATACTTAAAAAAAAAAATTAACAGTATGGTATAGGAAAAAGTCCCTCCTCCCTTTTTCTACTCCTCAGTCTTTTGCAGAAATCTAGACGTCCAGGGGAGTCCTGACCCTGATGTTGACCTGCGTATCCCCAGCCACTGCCTGCCAGTGAAACCTCAAGAAGGGCCACCTCTTATGCACGCAGAAGTTGGGTCTCCTTCACTCCCAGACCACGCTTTCTCTTATGGGCCCTTGCACAATGAGGCTTGGCTATGAGTGTGCATTAAGATCACAGAGAGGGGGATGCGAAAGGCTTCTCAGTGCACAGACTGGGGGACAGCACAGAACAGGAAATCCTGACTTCCCCCAGAACTTCCAGGAGGCTCAGCACAACCACGCCAGTGGTAGCTCTCTGCAGGCCTGAATCTCAGAAGTGAAGAATGAGGACTAGTCCACCTTTTTTTTTTTTTGCACTGGGGATTGAACTCAGGGGCACGCGGCCACTGAGTCACACCCCAGCCCTACTTGGTATTTTATTTAGAGACAGGGTCTCACTGAGTTGTTTAGCTGCTCTCTTTTTGCTGAGGCTGGCTTTGTGATCCTCCTGTCTCAGCCTCCTGAGCTGCTGGGATTATAGGTGTGCACCACTGCGCCCAGCCCCAACTCTTTTTTTTAACCTTCAAGTTTTACTTAAAGTAAGTTTTTATACTTTGATATAGCTTAAGACTCGGTGGTATTGCAAAAATAGTAGGAAGCCCTATGTACCCCCACTCAGCTTCCTCCCTAGTAATACCTTATAAAGCCACATCGCTAAAACCAGGAGAGTGACACCGCCAATTACTTTTTTTGTTGTTGTTGTTGTTTTAAGAGGCAGGGTCTGGTTCTGTTGCCCAGGCTGCCCCTGAACTCCTGGGCTCAAGATCTTCCTGCCTCAGCCTCCGGAACTGTAGACGTGCCACTGTGTCTGGCTGCCAATGATTTTTTAATAGAAGACCCTTTACTGTGTCTTGATTTGTATAACAAATAAAAGTAGTGACCTTGGAAGGGGCGAGGTGTTAGGGGAAAGGAGGGAGAAGCCAGGAGCAACATCAAAATGTCTTTGGAAGTTTTTCGACGTGACTACTGTGACTTATGTTCCATTTTTGAAAACATTTTAACTGGAGAAATTATATGAATACTACTTTTTAAAAATGTTAAGTGCTCTTAGTATGAAAAAGATGGTGCCTGTTTATAACTAGATAAGATCAAATCTCATTTAAGACCTCCAATAAAGAAGCAGGGGAATGTGTTTCAGAAGCGGGCTGTTCACCCGCCTTGAACGGCTCTCACCATTCGCACGGCCTTGTCAAGTTCACAGTCATTGAAGATTATAAGTGGGGACTTGCCGCCGAGCTCAAGGGATACTTTCTTCAGGTTGCTTACCGCACAGCTACAGGAAGATAGACGGGAAATGAGCATTTTGTCAGTGTCCCCCCTACACCTCCACCGTGGCTTTATTTACTTATTTATTTATGGGGTATTTGGGATTGAACTCAGGGACGCTCGACCACTGAGCCACACACCCCAGCCCTATTTTGTATTTTATTTAGAGACAAGGCCTCTCTGAGTTGCTTAGCGTCTCATTTTTGCTGAGGCTGGCTTTGAACTCACGACCCTCCTGCCTCAGCCTCCCCCTGCCCTTGCTTTTTTAATTATAGGCTACTTACAGTTGGCCTGGAAAGCATAGCTGAAGCTCAAAAACAGTAAGAAACCCATCCAAAGACAAAATGTGGGTGCAGAGCAGTGGCTGGCGGGGAAGCTGGGTGCTGGGCACATGGGCGTCAGTCATTGTATGTTTCCGTGTGTTTGGCATAGTATTAGGAATTTTTCATGATAAAAAGTCTTAAATTTTTTGTGTGGTCAAATGATCAGAGATCCTTGCGGGTAAATTCCCATTCTCTAGGAATTTGGGTTATATAAACACCTGCCAAGAAAATCCAATCTTTAACTAGACTAGTGGAACACTGGGGCAGGGGGTGTCAATTTTAGAAGCCGGCTGTTTCATTCCTGTCTTACGTAAGTGTTCTTATTTAAGACATGCAGACAGAAATGTAGACAGATTGGGAAAAACAATCCACTCTATGGCTCCATGACCTTTGTTTTTACCATTTCCATGTACTTATTTCTGATCTGTGTCCTATCGGAGCTGTTATGTTTTTTAAAATGGTTACAATCACTGGATAGATACAATTTTATATCCTGTTTTTCTCTCTAATTATCTGTGTGTGTGTGTGGCAGGGATTAAACCCAAGGCCGTATGCATTTGAGGTACCCTATTATCTTTTTTTAGTGGTGGTGTGTTTTTTTTTTTTGCCTCTGGGGATTGAACTCTGGGCCTCATGCTGAGTAAGCGCTCTATCTTGGAGTTACATCCCCAGCCCTTTCTATTTTTGAGTTTGAGTCAGGGTCTTACTGAGTTTCCTTGAACTTGACTGGCCTTGAACTTGAGCAATTTTTAAAAAACCAATATTACTATATTTTGAGAATCCATGTCATTTAGAATATATAAATCTATCACAAACATCTTTTCAGTTTCTTACTTAGGCTCCCCAAACAATCTGGGCCACAGTGTTAGTGCAGAAACTTTTTGTGCTGAGTTGTTGAAAGTTACCAACAGGGTAGATTTCAACATAGCTCTGGCTTTATTTGCTGTGGACTTTAAGGCTTTGGAAAGTCTTTTATTCAAATAGTTCAATGTGCAGCAGTGATAAGTAGATTTCTCTTCTACATCTGATGTGTTTTTTTAACCCCAGAAGTGCTCTGTTTAAACAAAAACAGAACCCTGGATTAACGTGTCTTTAGCGTTGACACAGTAAAGTCTATACCTCTTCATGATCTGTTTGCCAATAGAGGTGGAGCCAGTGAACCCAAGTTTGCGGATATCAGGGTGCTCAGAAAGACGTTGTCCTGCTACCCCACCTGTAGAATTAGGAGATAAAACAGTCGTTAAAACATTACTCAGGTCTTGCATGAGAGAGGTTTGAATTCATGGAATTAGAATTTCTAAGCTTTTATTGCATGATAGTTTTATATTTTCTGTATTAATTACTAACAGACAAAAATCTAAAGTAAGATCCTCTAAGTGACTGTCACCCCCTCACCTAGAAAAACTGGTGGGTAAGCCATGCTTGTTATCCTCCAAAGTAGTTACTGAAAAATCAAAATGGATTTTACTGAGTTTCCCAGACTGACCTTGAACTGGAGATCCTCCCACCTCAGCCTCCCCAGTGGCTGGGATTACAGGCTGCACGATGGTGCCTGGCTCCTGATTGTCATTTTAACAATGATTTTTGATGTTATTAAAATTCTCCATAACCGTGACTACTGAATTCTATCATGTCAACACACTTTACTGCCTTATTTTGAACATTTACATTATTAGCAGTTTTCAGAAACCTGACCACCTCGGGGTCAGTTTAATGATGTTGTACACCGCCCCCCACTACCTTCCTCTGCTCACTGGACACTACATTTCTACTTTAAGATTGCAGCACATGGTAGGGTACATTACACTTGGTAAACTGTATTTAGTTTTAATACAACTCAGGGTTAAGACTCCAGTGGGAAAACAGCCACTGGGCTACCCCATGCCACTCCCACCCCATGCCACTCCCCGGTCACAGCAAAGTGGTCCCTGAGGGCTTACCTGAGCCTGGAATGATGTTGATGACCCCCTTGGGAAAGCCTGCCTTCACCGAGAGCTCTGCAAACTTCAGGGCGGTCAAGGGCGTGACCTGACAGGCAGACAGCAGTTACCTTCTCACACTCTCCTGACCTTTGCACCTGTACCTGGTTCTCCCCTTGATGGTTGTGAGAGAGCTCATTTCATTTTACATTGTCCTGTTATTTTTGTATTTTGATGTAATTTCAGACTTACAGCAAAGTTACCAAAGTAATAGTGCAAAGAATTCCATATTCTTCACCCTCATCCCTCAAATGTTAACCTGTTTCTACATTTGCTTTACCCTCTTTATATATACATATATTTTCTCCCCACACTACTTTAGAGGTAAGATGTATAGTATGCACCGTTTGCCTCTCAATGTTTCTATGCACATTTACTAAAAGCAAGAAATTCTCTTACATACAAACAGTACAATTTTCAAAATTGGGGGAATCACAACTGATAGAACACCTATCACGCTTTAGATTTAGCCAGTTGTTTCAACAATGTCTATTATTGCAAAAGAAAACCCAAGAGCATGGGTTGTTTCTGTTTATCTTTTTCTTTTGTTTTGTTTTGCATTTAGTTGTGCACGTTGTCTCCGTTCATCTGGGAGAGTTTGAGTTTTCCTTTATATTTCATTGAACTAATATTTTTGAAGAACACAGGCCGGTTATTTCATGCACTGTCCCCTTGGCCTGAATTTCTCACAATTAGGTTCAAGTTATGCACTTTTGGCAACAATACACTGGAGTGGTACTGCCCAATCTCTCTACGTGTACCAGTAGTCCTTCCACTATGAGCCCCTGCCCTTCTACGTTAGTCTCCTGAGTAGCTGGGATTACAGGCATATGCCACTGCACTTGGCTGAGAGGAGGCTGTAGAAAGTAAGTCTATCCCATGTGCTTGGTTCCTTCTGCATGTGGCCAGTTTCCTTTCCACCTCTCCACCAATTTGTGATGCAGCCATCAGTGTGTGTGTGTGTGTGTGTGTGTGTGTGTGTGTGTGTGTGTGTGTCTCCAGGATGCTGGCATTATGTTCTTTGGACCCTTCATCTACCAGAATCATGAACCAAATAAAACTCTATACTTTATAAGTTACCCAATCTCAGGTATTTTGTTAAAGGAACACATCAAGGATTAAACCAATGTGTAAAATATACAAATATATAAACAAACATATACACACACATACACAAACACACAATATGTGTATTTTTGTGTATTTTACAAATACATATATATATATATACACAAATATATATATACATATGCATATATATGTATTTTGTTTAAAAAAATCTGTGTTTTTATGTACAGGTATCTATCTCTGGAATACCTAAGAAACAAATAAATAACCATTGAAAACATTTGATTGCCACTAAGGAGGGAAACTGGTTCACTGGGGAAGAGTGATAGGAGAGAGAATTTATTATTTACTTCTGTAACTTAGGAATTTTGAAAAGGTGGCTGTGTTTGATTTACCATGTAGCTGTGCCAAATGAGATTTGGCATAGCTACATGGTAAAAGAAGAAATTAGTTGATAAGTAACTAACTGTAAACTGTTCCAGAACAGACTCCAAGTTTTCTCCCTGACTTATGCACTTGGAACTGTAGCACTGTCTGTAAGTACTGTACTTAGTACATGCTCTCTGTTAAACTGGCTACTACATTTTTTCTTGAAGAGCTATTGTATGTGGCAGTAATGAATGTATTTGAGAATCGCCTAATTTGTTTGGTTTTATTTGTTTTTGTACCAAGGATTGAACTCTGTGGTACTCTATCACTGAACCACATCCCCAGCTCCTTTATTTTTAATTTTGAGAAAGGGTCTTGCAGAGTTGCCCAGGCTGGTCTCAAATTTGTGATCCTCCTGCCTCAGCCTCCTGCGCTCCTGAGAATGTGCCTGGTTTACCTGATCTATTTTAAAAGTATTTCCTTGCTATCCACACATATTCTTATAAAATTGCCACGATCATTGTTTTTTTTTTCCATATTCTTCCCTCATTTTCCACCTCTTTACAACATTTTGGCTGATCATGTTTGCATGCCTGCATATTTGAATTTTGATGTCTCATAGTTCCTTGACATAATTCTCCACTGTTTGGGCACTTGGCATTTTGCAAGTTTTGAACTGGTTTGTAACAGGGCAATGGGTTTCACGGAGCTACACCACCTTGGAAGTTCTAAATTATAGAATCTCCATAGGATGATTAGGTGGCTGTTAAAAATGCACATTTTAAATGAAGGCACCCATGACACAGGAAAAGGCATCGCGGTATTGGATCTCGAGGCACCGTGCACAGACGTGTGTGTGTGTGTGTGTGTGTGTGTGTGTGTGGCTGAGCACACAGAGGGCGACTGCCCGCGGGCCCGCTCACCTGCGCGGGCTTGAGCACTAAGGTGTTGCCGGCGGCCAGGCAGGCGGCGCTCTTCCAGGCCAGCATCATGAGCGGGTAATTCCAGGGGATGATGATGGCACAGACCCTGCAGCGGGGAGATGCGACATCCTCAGCTGCCTCAGACTCACGCGCAGGGGAGAGTCACTCAGAGGCGCTGCGAGTCTTACCCCAGCGGCTCCTTCTTGGTGAAGGACAGGTTGCGACTTGGACGGGCCTGGTTGATGGGGATCGTGGAGCCCTGAAGAACAGAACAAGTGGGCGCTTCCTTTACCAAGGTAAAGTAGGGAATTTCATCTCAAAGAATCCCTCTTCGGCCCTCCTCTCCCATTGTTCTGAGGTGATGTGAGAAGGCACCGTCAAACACAGAAGAAATACATCCCCACCCACCCACGAGGGACGGCTGTTCATTTCTCAAAAGAACTAGGAGACACAAGAGAATAAAGGGTTCTGATTAAGTCACCTCCATTTCCAACCTCAAAGCATGGCAGAGAATGTTAAGTGCCCACCCAATATCCACTCTCCTCTCTCTCCTTCCTAGTAGGACCCCCAGTTAACAATGGCGACAGCACTGTGCCCAGGAAAAAAAATACTGTGTCTCCTGGTCAGTGGAAAATATAAGCCCAAAGCTTTAACGTAGACTGACTCAGTTACAACAAACTCTCTTTTACCCTACCCTTTACTCCCACTTCCTGCTTAGAATGTTGCTGAAATGGCTGGCACTGCCGTGGTTATCTTGAGACCAAGAGACAGCCTTGAGGGTAGAAGGCACATGGAAGTAAGGATGGCCTGGCAGAGATGGAAGGAGCCTGAATCTCACGTACTAGTTCTGCCTGCCTGCCTGCCTGCCTTGGGACTTCTCAAAAATGAGAGAAAAAGAAGCTTCTTATTTGGGTTTTCTGTTATACACAGCCAAACTTAATCCGAAGGAGTTCACAACCTCAGTCTTTAACCGGAGCTATTCACTTGCTTTGTCAGGTAAGATCATTGCTCTCATGGATGCCAGGGCACCATCTCTTACCGGAGCCCCTTGCAGCCAGGTCTATTGCGGAATTCAGAATTTTTTGGCCTCTAGAAACAACATAGTGCACATATCCTATCTACTACCCATCGTAAGATCTACAAAACCCTCCATAATCAAACACGTTCATATTTACTCAGTGAAGCATAGGAATCTTGACTCGAAGTGATACAAATAAAGATTATAAATAGACTGATCCTCACTCAGGCCAGTGTCTGGCAGCCCTTGGGTCTGAACCAATCCAACCAATTTTCAGGTTCCAGAGCTATTTGGATCTCACATTTGAGGAGAAGAGGTGGCCTTGAAGCACTGAATGTCTGCAGGTGCACGACCCTGTGGCTGAACAGCATCAACACTTCCTTCAGGTGTCACTTCCTGTGCTTCAGGCTTATCTTGTCCTGTAGAAGCACTTATTTCCTATCCTTATAACTTTCAATGGATGTATCACTGCAGCCATTTTTCAGACAAGGAAAGTAAGGTGCTGAGAGGTAAAATAACTTTTTAAAATTATTATTAAAGAACTGGGATGAACCCAGGGATGCTCTACCACTGAGCCACATCCCCAGCCCTTTTTATTTTTTATTTTGAGTCAGGGTCTCGCTAAGTTGCCCAAGCTGGCCTCAACCTTGGGGTCCTCCTGCCTCAGCCTCCAGAGAGCTGGGATACAGGTGTGCACACTGTACTGGTGCTAACACAGCTTTTACACTTGGTAAATGGCAGAGTTGAGACTGGACCCGGGCCTCTCTGACTCTATGCTAATGTTGGTGGCAGCGATGCTCACAGATAAGGTGTTTCTCAGTCTCCTTAGAGACAGAGATGGCCCATGGGTGACATAAGCACAAGGCATGGAGGGGGGAGGGGTGGTGGGTGGGAATGCTTTCTAAAGCCCCTTTCCCTTCCCCCTCCCCCTTCCTCCCTGCTGCTAGGATGCGGCAGGAGAAGCTCCCAGGGTGGTCTCAGGCTTCTCTCTGCGGTGGCCCCCCTTTTTCCTTTGTGTCTGTCCCCAGTGCTGAGGCCAAGTGTAGTTGACACTCACCACCAAGCATGCCCTGTTTCTTACCATAGAATAAAAGGAAAATTAAATATTTATTATACCCTTGTTTTTACCAAAATGTTCTTGCGCTCAGTCGGCCTCCACCACCTACGTTCGCCCTTTGGCCTCTGTAGACGTCTGCGTTGGCAACCCCCGCCTGACCCCAGGGTTCTCTCTAGTCAAGTAGATGACGACTCGATGTGTTATGGCAAAGCCCAAGGAAGAGTGGGGTCTGCAGATTCGCAAAAGCCTGCGGTGGAACCTGGCCCTGCAGTTGACTTGCTGTGGGTCACAGGAAGGCATGCATCCCTCCAGCCAGTTTCCTTGTCCACTGTTATAATCACTGCTATGGTCCCACTGTGCCCCCCATAATTCCTGTATTAGCAACTTAATCCAAAAACCAAGGATTTGTTTGTGTTGTGAGGTGGGGTCTCATGTGAGGTGCTTATATCACGGGGGCTCGGTCCTCATTCGAGGATTAATGCTGCTGTAAAAAGGGCTAATGGGAGGGGAGTCTCTCTCTCCTGCTCTTCTGCCATGTGAGGACACTGTTCCGCCTCTCCAGAGGATGCAGCTACCAGGTGCCATCTTGGAACCAGAGACCAGACCTGCTGGCAACCTGAACTCACACTTCCCAGTTCCTAGAACTGTGACAGAATAAATCTCTGTGCTTTATAAATGGCCCAGTCTCAGGTAAGCTGGTATAGCAGCACAAAACTGACTAAGACAGCCATGCCACATAAGTGAGAAAAACCTATGGAAAAAACAGGTCCGACCCAGTACCTGGTGACAACTCATGGATGTTAGTCCCTCTTCCTTTCGGAACAAAGATCATTCATGCTTACCTGAATTTTGTCACACCAGCCGGCAAAGTATCTGAACGTTTGCACAGACATTCCAATGTGAGTCTTCAGAGCCAAGGTGTAGACAGCCCCGGAGTCAAGGGCTTCGATGGTTGCTAGCTCTTCTTGGTTTTCTTCCAGTAGGTCTGCAAGTCTGCATGGCCAGCGAAAACAGTCAATCAGTGATTATTGATTGCATCCTTATTATAAATATGATATCCTAAGACTGAGATTTCTTTTTCCTCCCATAGCTTTATTGAGGTAAAATTGAAGTACAATAAAATGTACCTATTTGAAGTACGCGATTTGATCAGCTTCGACTTGTATGTAACCAATACAATCAATATAAAAACCATTTCTATTACTTTTTTTTAATTTGAAATCATGCATTTTTTATTACATTAGAAATCAATCGCCTTAAGATATATAGAACCCCACCCCACATGTCAACGACTTCAAAATTAAGTGGCACACTTACAAATATCTCAGAGGTCAAGGAAGAGAGCACAAGAAAAGTAAATAAAAAATGCTTTGACTTAATAGATAATAAAAGCTTAAAATATCAGAATATCTGGGATGAAAGAGTACTCAGGTGAACATTTATAACTTAAAGTACTTGTATCAGAAAGAAGCTAAAATAGCCAACAAGTTGTTTTCAAAATACAAAGTAGGAAGGAAGAAATAAGAGGAGGAGCAGAAATTCATGAAATAGAGAAGAAATAATACAGCTAAAAGTTGATAAAAACCAAACAAGTGTATTCAAGAAAAAAGCAAGATCACAAAAATTAATATCGGTGGAGAGGGAGCTATCAAAATACCCCAGAAGGTGCTAAAACATATTATGGTAATATTATAATTCTAGGACTGAGATTTCTGAGGTGAACACAAATGCACCAGGTCTCTGCCCTTAGGAGATCAGGGTCCAGTATGGAAGGCAGATCTTAGACGATCTCATTCGTGATTTGTGCAAGAGTGACAAAGGAGACACAGGGGCTAGTGCCCACAACTGGCCTGAGTGACCAAGCACCGCAGCCAGGGAAGGAGCTCAAGCACAGGAGACAGAAGGAACGAGGAGGAGGCAGACCTCAGAGCGCAGCCCACGCGCCTCGAGAACCCCACACCTGCCCAGCGCCCGCTGCTGCAGAGATGTTTTCTAAACTAACTGGAGAGACATGGAGGGACTACAATCACCACCACAGAGTCCAAGGCCATCTTCTGTGTCCACCTCCGCTGCGTGTTTCCCCTCCTTCCTGGAGTGGTTCTCCGAGCTGCTCTTTTGGGGCCCCCTAGAGTCCGGCCTGAGTGCTCCCTCCCTAACGTTTCTCCCATGACTGGCTCCTAAGAGATCACTTAATTAAGATCAAATATTTAGCTTTAGGTGAGCGGAAAACAGAGTTGATGATAGCCTGATTCCTGCCGGCCTGCTCAGTTACTCATCTGTAATGTTCTCTCCCGGCCCTGGTACTCCTCGGTGGTGCTCCTAATCCCTACATATCAAAGAGATTGAAATTGCATCCTTGAAGGCAAAGGGGTGCTGGGTATCTCCATCTGCTGCTCTCTGTCCATTCTCCACCCTGCTCCATGACCTTGGAGGATGACCTTTATCGACTCCATCACTTGGCTCCTGGAGACACCTGCGGAGGCTGGCACGCTGGAGGAGAATGTGGTTGGGGATTACATTTTCAGCTCCCTCTCTTGACTGGCTGTGGTTCAGCAGCTGCTCTGTCTCCCCACCTAAGATCTCTGCAGTGTGGCTTCCCAAAGAGACAGATCTTGCCAGAGTCTAGAAACAGCTCCTTCCTCTGTCCCTTCTGACCTTGGAGGAGTAGCAGCTTCCCCTGCTTCCACCTCTGCCTGGGTGTGCCATTATCCTCTGTGGGAGTCCCTTGACCTTGCCCACATCTTTGTAAAAACTCCTTCATTCAACTTCTTTTCCCATCAGGACCCAGGCTGACGCAAGCAATGACTTAAACGTCAGGAGCTTCCAGACACAGGACTGATAGGACTTGAGTTAAAGAAGACAGAATATAGCAGGTGCCTACCAGAATGTTTTGCAGGGATTTACAAAGTTTTGGCAATGCTAACCGATATCCAAAGGTGACAGACTCCCTTTTCTAAAAAACACACCTGTACATCAGCCTTCCTCTTTCTCTGGCGTTCATTCTTCCCCATTCGCCGTTTTCAAAGGCATCCTTTGCCGCGGCCACTGCTTTGTCAACATCCACCAAAGAGGCATAGGATACTTTGCATATTGTCTGTTTCAAGGAAAGCAAAAAACAAGGTGAGCAGAAATATCTGTGTGTGTATATATATACACACACAGATATAAATATAGATGTAGATAGATAGATATAGATATAGGTAGATGTAGATAGATAGATATAGATATAGATAGATATAGATAGATAGATAGATATAGATATCTGTATATATGGATTCTTGGAATTGACATTCTGTTACGAGGAAAAAGCAGAGTATCACTTATAAAATTCAAATTGATGGAAAATGAATACCTCTACGAATATGGTAAAGAAAAAGGGATCATTTGGACATGAGAACTGTGAGCATGAAACTTGGCGCTTCTTGTGTCGCACCTCATTATGGAAGAACACATTTAGAAATACTATATATTTCTCCTCGTGCCTTAGGGAAGCTGGATTTCTTGCCACAAGTTTTCAAAGTCTGAAAAAATTTTTCCCATATATAGCTTTCTGCAGAGAGGTTCCTCTGACGTGCCCTTTGTCTAAATTCATAACAAATATCCACCCTATTAAAAAGGTTACTCTGGTTAACAGCAGCCGCTATCAGAGTTGACTCATTGAAAGAAACGCAGAAGTGTATTGCGTGAGGTGCCTGCAGGCAGCGTGGCAGATGAAGGGATGTCTCGAGACTGCCTTTCTGCAGCTCTGCGGGAGCTGAATCCCTGGCTGCCTGTCCCTGCACACACCACAGTGATCACTCACCGACCCATCTGTTGGGTTGATGGTGTCGTAAGTCTTTCCATCTTCTGCATCGGTGAACTGTCCATTTATGAAACACTGATATGGCATTTTTACTGTCATTTCATTGACCTCCTTTGCAACCTAAGAGAGAGAATCATATTAATAGATCCAGTGGGTTTTTGTGCTTACCATTTGATATGGAATGTCAGTAAAGAAGATAATTCACTAATGCTGCGGGAGAAGTGATCAGTGGGGTTCCAGTTTCCATTGTCTACTCTCGATAAAAGACAAGAATAGGTAAGATTTGGGGCTCAAGGTGCTTGGTGTGGCCTCTGAGTCAGGAAGAGCTTAACGGGTCTCCTAAGGAGGGAAGAACTCGGGAGTGGTCCCGCCTGCAGCAACACCGCCATCTAGTGGAACATCCGTGACGCGCAGCCGCTGCTTTCCCAGGTCGTTGCTCGCGCCTTTGTGTTAAGTTTCCCCTGGGTGTGGTGCCATTATAAGTTCTGTTTTCTAAATTCCTCCCTGTACTGCCTGAACTCTATTCCTTGCCCTTGGTTGCCTGTTGATTTGGGTTTCTTCGTTTACTTTTCTTGAGGTTGGTTTTTTTCAAATTAAATTGGGGTTCCTTGGTTAACTTTTTTTTCAAAAATGGAAAAGAATTACAATGTTTCCAAATGAAGAAAAACAGAAAATTCATTGCTGTCCCAAGGTGTCCTCCAGGTGGAAATGAAAAAACTCTGGGCAGTAACTGGGATCCACAAGAAGAAACAAAGATCATCAGTAAATGTAGCTACATGAGTAAATACAGATGCCTGCTTACATATATTTTTGTTTTTACACTTCTTGCTGATTTAAAAGACTACTGTAGGAAGCGATAATTATAAAACTGTGTTGGTGATCTTACAACGCCTGAAGATGGAATTTGTATGCAAATGTCACTGCAGATTA